GTACCAATGGTCTTGCTTTTCCTCAATGTCGCCAAGCGGAAAGATGTTGGCGTCGACGACGCCGATGCCTCGGCCTTCCATCGCAGCCTCTTCGCTCTCGAGGATCACGTCAAAGCGACCGCCATTGTACCCGTCAAAGCGCGCCGTGAGGTTGCGAAAGTACGCCACGAACGCGTCCGTCCGTAGCCGGTTGCCGTCCGATGTAAAGTAGTTGGCCCGCAGGTCGTTGCCGTCGACGCCCTCGGTGCGCGACGCATCTCGGAGCCCGATGCTCTTGATGTCGCCATTGGTAGCGTACGGGTACCGGTAGAAGAAGACGACGGCTTCGAGACCGTACGCGGCCTTTTGCAGCACCCACGAGTTGTCGTCTTGGCGCGACCCCGTCGCTTGGCGCTCGCGCACGTACGCTTCCAAACACGCGTAATCCCGGCAGAGACGGACGCCGGCCGAGCTCGTCGTGCACACGTTTGGCTTGATCACAAACGGAAACGATCGCGGTGTTGCAGCGTGCCACGTTGCGAGGTCGTCCAGTGACGCGATGCGCGTCGCGTCCAGCGAGCCGTCGCGACCGAGGTACCGCAGTGCGTCGTACTTGGACACTTCGTTGGTCGCGAGCCAGAACGGGTTCATCGAGAGCACGACCAAAACGCCAAAGAGCGCGAGACAAATCGCACTCGCAATCGCAAGCAACGTACCGTGGACGACCGGCGCGAGGACCAGAAGCTGCCGCTGGTGCCCGACGCTAACCGCCGCCGCGCCAAGCACGCAGGCCATCCACGGAGCCATGGTCGATGCGACCACCAGCAAGACGAGCCAAGAGAGCACGACGAGCATCGTCCCGGGCACGAGCGCCAGCAAGATCACGTCGCACACACCGAGGATCGCGAGCGTGGCGAGCGCCATACAGAGAAGACCTGGCCACGGCCACAAAAGCGCGAGAACGACGTACGTCACAGCGACTGCCGGTCGTCCGCCGTAGACGCGGGCAGAGACGTAGCGGTGGCCGACACACGCCGACGCAGTCAAGGCGAGGTAGACACAGAGGTGGAGAAAGAAGGAGGTGGCGTCGAGGAGCGCGCACGTGAGGAGGACGGCGGCGAGGCTGCCACCGACATAGACGCCGGACGAGGAGGACATGGTATGGGTCGCACGGAGGGTGTCTTTTGTGAGACGCGGGTGGATCGTCGGGAGGTCCAGCGCGATCTCAAAGGCAGAAGTCGCTTGGCTACTCGGAGGCGACCGTGAAGTGCGTTGTTGAACAGAGTTGGTGTGCATGAAACAAGGTGACTTGGAGAATGAGCGCTGGGTTCTCGTGTGAAACCTCGAGGGTTTTGTCGTCTTGGGCTGCCAGAGTCGTGTACATTCCTGTCCAACACCAGACTAGGCGGACACCCGTGCATGTCCGCCGCATGGTAGACCGACTGGAGACCTGTACGCGACCGATGCTATGGACCCTGTGCTAGGCGATACCGATCTCGGGTGCAATGGAAGCTCACTGGACGAGGTTAAATCGACCACCGCGGAAGGCTCATGCAGGCTTGGGGCTCTCCTAAGGCTGGAGAACGATGCTCACACTGACGAGCCTGGCCTGGTATGGACGACCCCGTTGGTCCTGGATCTTTTTACCATCATTCTTTTGTGTTGTCCACGACAAGCATTCCTTCATGACGACAAGGTGACCATGCCGAGGTCGCCAACGCTTGTTTTGGCCTCGCTTTTGCCAGCTCAAGCTCCTTTTTCAGGCCCTCCATGGATCACCTGCGCCGCCAGCCACGGGCCACGTGGCTGCAGCCGAGTGCGCTTGACTCGATCGCTGGCAAGCGCTGATGGCATGTTCCTTGTGTCGCTCGGAGATATGCTGGCATGTCTACTAGCGGGAGCAACCAAGGGCGCGCCTCTCACCTTGCACCGTTAGCTGCATGGTACACCGCTAGACGCACGTTGGCGCTCGATGAGACAAGACACTGATGTTCGCTGCGCTCGAAGCAAGGTCGTTGTTATAAAGCAGAGCAGCAGCGGCAGAAACAACAGCATTGAATAGCATCTAGTTTTGGCTGGCGTGTCGCTTGGGCTTCTTGAGCCCTTGCATCTTGGCCTTCATGACCTTGGCGAGCTCGGCCTGGAATGCAGCATGGGTCGCTGGCGGCACCTACATGACTGCCATCAGAGGCCGCGAGAGGCGCGCAGCTTGCGTACGACGGTCGAAAGCTTGGCCTTGTGCTTGTTGTTGCCGTTCTTGTAGGCGCGAACGAGGTAGACGTTAGGGCCCGCGGCGACTGCGTCGGCCCGCACCAGCTTGCCGACCTTGGCGGACGCGACTGCGGAAGGTCCATGAGCCATGGGGACGGAAGGTCGTCATCGTACCGCTCTTGGTCCGGATCGTCACGGCGCCGCTGCCGCCGGGAAGCGACGTCTGGAAGAGACTGGCGAGCTGGGGCAGAAAGTCCGCCGACGACACGAGTACCATTCTAATTGCACACTGGCGTCCTCCCAAACTACATATCCAAACTCAAAAATAAAAAGAAAGAGGTTTTCCCAAAGTTCAACAGACAACCTGTGCACACGCCACGTGGACGTGTCGTGCCTGACAGTCAATCTCGATGGTCTCTATCCTGTCATTTTGGATACTATAATACTGTCATTTTGGATAGTATAATACAGCCACATTGGATAATCTAAATTCATTTCATCATTTATTCACTGCGCCTACATGTCTTGGACGACACGCTTGGGGTACACACGCTTGTAGAGGTTGAGGCACACCGTGTCGTGCTGCTTGATGGGCTTGTTGAAGACGGCCTTGAAGTCGCCGTGCGTACCGAGCGACTCGGAAATGTGCCCCGTCATGCCGTGCTTGGTCGTGAGCTCGACAGGCTTGAACCACCGGACGTCCTCGGGCGAGTGGAACATGTAGCGCACGACAGCCTTGCGCTTCTTGACGCGGACCGGCGTGCCCGCAATGACAACGCGCTTCAAGATGATACGGTCCGGGTCGACGTTGAGGAGCGTGCCCGAGCCCACGAGCGCGTTGCTATGGAACGCGAGCACGGACGCCGGCTGGAACGTCGCGGGCCCATAGACCGTCGCGACCGTCCAGCCCGCGCTCGGCATGAAGCGCTGGAACTTGTGCTTGTCGCTCTTGTTGTTCTCATCCGAGAAGATCGGACGGCCCTCAAAGCGCCGGAAGCCGCAGTGGAACATCATCGGGTCCTTCGACTTGACCGAGATGTCGCCCGACGCCCGCTGCAGCGTAAAGTTGAGGACGGACATGCGGTTCTCGTGGCGCAAGAGCGAGCTCAGCACACACGGGCGGTTCACCTGCATGCGCGCGGCCATCTTGGCCACTGGCACGTTCTTGAGGACGAGCGTCACCAGCGCGCCCGTCGCAATGTACTCGCCCACGAGGACCGGCGCCGCGTCATCTTCCGAGGTCTTGATAGCGTCCTTCCAGAGCGCCTCGGCCTCCTTGCCTTGGTCGAGCACGCGCTTTTGCGTGTAGTGGAACGACTCAAACTGAAAGAGGCGCGCGTAATCCATCGGCAGCGACTCCTTGGCGTCCCACGGGCTCGTGCGGAAGCTCTTCATACCGCGGTACCGGGCAAACCGGTCCTTCCCGAGCGTCTCGGCGGGGATGTCCATCTCATCCGGGAACGCTTCGTGCTCGGCCTGGAGCTTGGCCTTCTCGTTGGTGCGGAACTCCATGTCTTCGTCTTCGTCGACCATCGACATGTCGTCGTCATCGTCGTCGTTCAACGCCTTGTCCTTGGGCGCGTCACCGCCAACCTTGCAAAAGCTCTGGTCCGGCAGCTCATTGTCCGACGCGTCATCGTCTTCCTCGTCCATGTTGAGGTCGCCGTCCGCATCTTCGGCGTCGTCGACTTGCCACGCCGCTTGGTAGCTGCTCATGCCGGCAACGTCGACTTCCTTGCGCGTGCTCGCGGCTTCCTTGAGCTCCTCTTCGGTCGGCCACGTTTGCTCGGCGGCAAACGTGTCGACCTCGGCTTCGTACTGCAGATCTTCCTGCTTGGACGGGTCGGCGCGGGCGAGGAGCGTGTTCGGGTCGTCGCCCTTGACCACATGGCTCAGCTGGTACGTGCCAATGTCGGTGAGGTGGATGAGCTGGTTGGCCGAGAGCGGCTTGCCGCGGAGGTACCCCGTCACGTGGAGCGACCCGGCCATCTCCGACTCTTGGTTGAAGACAACGTTGGTCGCGTGCATGTAGCTGCGGATCTCGCGCCAGTGAAGCACCTTGGGCTGGACCGTCAGGACCGCGCGCATAACCTGCACGTTGTTGTTGCCGACAGCCACCTTGATCGCGTCGCCAAACTCCGTGTTGAAGAAGCGCTGGCCAAACTTGCGGCAGTCGGCTTCGACCTTGGGCGCGTGGACTTCCGAGCCCTGGACGATCCCGACCGCCGCGACGAGGCCTTGCGCGCGGATGGCCGAGAGCAACACATCGCCGTCCGCACCCACCGCCGCGTCCGGACCGTTGTACATGGGCAGCACAAACACCATGATGTCGGCGACCTTGGCCATGTCCAGGATGCCGAGGACGTCGTGGCCGCACTCGATGATCGAGAGGTGCTGCTTCTGGTTGGCAAACGTCGCGTGCGTGAAGCGGCCAAGCATGCGCGCCTACAATCAAGAGGCTATAAGACCACTAAGATGCATAAAGCGACCTACGTCTTCCGAGTACGTGACGTTGGAGGCGGTCTCAATGATCGACGCGCGGACCGCGTCGAGGTTGGCCGACGGACCGAGCGGTACGAGCGCGACGACCTTAGGCGGACCGTTGAGCGCGCCAAGGCGGTGGCGCATCGAGACGTCGTCGGCCTTCATCTGCTTCCACTGCTTGGCCTTCTGGAGGCGCTGCGCCTTGGAGCCCGTGAGGAGGAGCTTTCCGGCCTTGCCGATCACGCGCTCGACCTTGCCGCCGCTCTTCTTGGCGAGCAGCGTCTTGGTGTCATGCTTCCCGACCTTGTGCTTCTTGTTCTTCTGCTTGAGCGGCCCCGACCGATGGTGGTGGCTCATCTTGCGACGCGGTGAAATCGGAAAGTTCGGTTACCCAACTTGATTGGCGCCAGGCACGTCCTACCAGTCAATGGTTTCGGACTTGTCCTTCCGGAAAACGCGTGAAATTCGGACTTTGCTCCCTCCCGGTAGGTGACCCGACCAGGGCAGGAAGTGTCGCCAGCTCTAACGCAAGCGCCTGCAGTACGTCAGCAACGTGCGTGCATGCGGTGCGCGCGCATGACGAGTGCCTACAGGTATAGCATCGCTCCATGACGCGCCTCGGACATTTTTTTTGAGTTTGGCCACCGCGATCAAGCCCATCAGGTCGGCTTGGATCACCAAGTTGAAGCGCTTGAGATGACCTTTAGCATCCATAATGGCTTGTCGAGCGACTTGAACAACCTCTGAGCACCAGTTACCACATTTCTTCCACAAGTAGAGACTAAAAGGAGGCTGGACTAATGCTGCATTGGCGCGCTTAGCGACGCCGAGATGACGTCTTCGTCCCTAGTGAGTACAATGTACATTGGTGGGTCGTGGACAGGGTCAAGGCGTCACTTGCACGTCGATGTACCGCGGCCTTGTAGCTCCAGGAGTCTTTGCGATGGTTTGTCGCGCGATCTACCTGTTGTTGGTCTTTTCTAACCAACCGAGAAAGGGTTCACGAACAAGATGACAACTTGCATGGCAACACTTAGAAACTATTCCCTACACTACTATTCCCTACACTACTATTGTATGATATATCGTCATGCAGCGACGAGGTTCGACTCCCAAAAGTAGAGCAACGCACGCTCCTTGAGTTTCTCCAAGTCGCCGCCAAACGCGTCCAAGCGGAAGAGCGCCGGGCTCAGTTCAAAGAGGGCGTGGTGCGTGCTCATTTCGAGGCGATCGACGTCCGCACGCGTCAAGCTCGGGACAGACGCGAGCGGGCAAAACACCATGCTTGTCGTCGTTGTCGTCACCGCTTGGTAAAACCCGACAAGGCTAAACGCGCTGTCGAACGCGGGAAAGCCGACGCAAGCACCCGCGCTGAGCACCGCAAGCTGCGCCACAATACAAAACACGTGCTCTTCGTACGTCACGATAAGCGACGGCGACCGTGTCTCGGTCGGCGGCTCGGTAGCTGGCTGCAGCTGCTGCAACAGCGCTTCATAGTCGTACACGGTCTCGGTCGCGTACGTCAAGAGGGCGTTGGCAATGACGCAGTGGGGCGCGTGGTGCTGCGAGCTGTACGTGAGCATGTCCTTGTAGCGCCAGCACGCCGGGCATCGGTACAGCGGCCGGCGGTAGTCGAGCGACCCGTCGACATGCGTTTCGTAGCCAACTTGTTGCCACTCGAGCGCTTCAAAGCCCTTGAGCACCGATCGCGTCCATTGCAGAACGCGCGACAAGCTCGGTGGTATCACGCGCTCGTCCCGGCAGTGCCGTTTCCGGGGCGGCGACTCGGTCGAGGACGCACAGCTGTCCTCAGCCGAAACCAAGTCGGCGATCGTCGCCTCGCTAGTCTGTTGTGCCGGGCGCTTGTTGCGCTTGGACCGAACTGTGATGGCCGACGTGATATCAGGCGCGACGTCGGTGCTTTCGGTGGGCTCGATCTTGAGCCGGAACGGCTGACTCTGGTGGTTCCGACTCACGTCTTCGATGCGGACGCGGAGAAGGGCGCGGCCGTGGACGTCAATGCCGCGCTCTGACTCGGGCGAGACCTTGAGGATGTCTTGCTTGAAGACAACGACGCCGCTCTCGTAGAGCAACGTCATTGTGAGCGGGAGCGGGCGGTTCTTGACGCGCGCGCCAGTGTGATCGACCAGGTGCACGGCGATCTCGAGGCACTTGTCGCGACTGCCTTCGTCCTTGTACCATACGTCGGGCAGCGCGTCTTGCACGACGAGGTGGTGCTGGACGACGGTCATCGCAGAAGTGAACACGGGCGCGATGCCTAGCACGAGAAGAAAAGTATGATCCATGTGTGACACGGCAGTGTGTATCAGTGTTACCTGAATCGGCGGGCGTGATCTCGAGCTGGAACGGCTGGCTTTGGTGTGCCGCCGACGACGTGTGCACCGTCATGCGCAGCTTGCAGATGCCCGAGCCGTCGACGACCGCCGGCGTCGACGCATCCACGACAATAAGATCTTGGTCGTTCTCGAGCGGCTTCTCGCCCGCCAGTAGGCGTAGTTGCAGCGGCACTTGAAGCCTATGTGCCGTATCAGCCAATCTCGTCGGGGGGAGATCGGCAAGAAGTACCCTGTCTTGAGGTCGCCGGCTTCATCGACCATGTACACGGTGATGTCAAATGGCTCGCCAACGAAAGGAAACGCCGGTGGCTGTGGCTCGACCTTGAGGCGCAGCTACGATGAAGCGTGAGCCATGCCCTCGATCGCACCAAGGCAAAGATACCTTTTCAAGATCCGCCATCTGTGGGGCTTGAAGTAAAAACGTTCCTGGCACATTCCACTGCCGACGATCGCTCGTGTGCGGATTCGATTGTGGGGACCCTCTCTCTATATAAATTACGTGGAACTGGGTTGAAACCTACACTGCGTCAAATTAGGTCACAGGCGAATACGGCACGGCGCGCTGAAGAACAGCGCGCGACCGTTGCGCGAAACGTCTTTGGCAGTTTCGGATCCTTAATTTTGGTTTTGCAACGTTCCGAGAAACCCCCGTGGTGCTAGTCACGTACGTGGCAGCGTCCAGTGAAAGAACGACGCAAGGATCTCAGTAGCGTGGGCACGCATGACAAGGGTGATGTTGTCACCTATGCTTTTGCATACGGCGGCGCTTCCGTATCAAGAGAGCCGCAATTTTTGTATCGACTACATGCTCGACAAGGCCTTCCAGTTGCCTCCTTTTGGGAATAATGTACTACTAGTACTACTCGTCGTCGTCGCTGATCTCTATGACTTCCGGTATGCGTTTGGCAGTGACGCCAAGGATCGGCGCGGACGGTGGCCGCTTGTTGGCGGCGGTGGAACTGGGTTTACGAGGTCGCTTGGTTGCAGGTGGTCGCGTCGCTGGCTTCTTGGCTTGCGACTTGGTCTTCTTCTCATTCGGCTCGTGCACAAAACACACTTTGGCCACAATGTCCGCTTGTCGAAACCTATCGAGCCAGACGAGCTGCGTATCGGAGAGCGCGTCGCGCGGACCCTTGACCTCGACCAGCTGCACTTGGCTTGCTTCCAGCAGCGCCAAAGGTAGTCCTTCGTCCACCTCTTCCGTCGTCGTCGTCTCGGTGGCCTCGCGCCGATCGATATAGCGTTGCAGGTCGGCGTAGCCACCCTCTGTCGGTACGCGCACGAGAATGAGGTCGGGCATCCCGCTCGAGTCGCACGCGGTCACTAGCGTGCCAACTTCTTGATACCAACGCAAGGCGGAAAAGGCATGTACCCCAGAGACGAAGCAACCGCGACAAGCTAGAGCCACCGAGGCCGGCGGCCAGCAGTTGTAAGTAGCCCCTCGACGAACTCCACGACATGCCATAGCCATTTTGACCCTATACATAATGGGTCTCTGCAAGACAGTGCATCGAGAGACGTACCTCGTAGATGTCGTACTGCTGACCAATGTGCGTCGTCAGGTCCGAGGTTGTCATGGCCGCAAGCGCCGACAAGGTCGCGTCGATCGCATCGGCGCGGGCGGCACAAAAGTGGGCTGCGTACCGAATATCCAAATCGAGCGGTCGATCCTACTCGCAAATTAGAAATCGTGTCCTGTATATACGATGAAATTACCTGATAGGGCGTTTGAAAGACGTGCGGCTGCGGCATAAAGATGACGTCCCAGAGCAAAAGACCAAAGAGCATGCGCATCTCGGCGCCTTCGCGGTGGCTGCCATACCATCCTACGATCCAGTGTCTCACTACCATAAGATGCCATAAGATTGCATACCGTTTTGGTTGTAGTGCTGCAACACGAGCTCCTCGACCGAGACGCCCGCGTCGTCATAGCCAATAAAGCGTGACTTTTCGCCCGTCGCTCGGTTCAGCGGCCGGCCTTCGATCGCTTCCGATACGTAGCTTCCGAGTTCGTTCTTCTTGCACCCGTCCTCATCGTCGTTTTGGTCGAGCACGCCATCGGGGCTTGGTTTGCGGAGCCGGAGGAGCTTGCGCCGAAGCACGAGGCGGTCGCAGTCGCGCACGTCGGCGTCGGCCAAGCCTTGGTCGCAGATCGTCAACGCTTCGTTGGGCTGTTTGAGATGCATGTGCAAGTTGACCGCGAGCCGAACGTACCACGAACCACTGCAACAAAACTACATTCTTGGGAAGTCCATGAGGAACTTACCGCTTGTAGCCGATACGGCGGGCGGCGAGCGCTTCTTGGAGCAAGACGACGGCCTTGTCGTGCTGCCCGAGTTTCTCGTAGATGGATATTGCGCTATCCAGTGCTTTCACGAGCTGGTAGCCGCCATCAAAGTGCGCAAAGAACGGAGGGCGTGCCACGTCATTCTCTTGCGCTGGGTAGGCCCGCAAGGCATGGCGCACCTCGAGCACGAGCACATCCAAGTCGGCGAACGTTCGCAGAAACGTCTATGGCCCATGCAAACTTCAGACGCGCATGCATTCCAAAGACGACGTACGTCGACGGAGCGGTGACACGCCAGCTTCCACGTTACGTCATCACGCGGTGGTTGCGCCTGAAAGACGAGCAGCGACGGTGGGCTGTGGTCGAGCCACTCGATCGAGAGTGACGGCTCGCGCGTCAGCACGTTGCTTTGCACCGGAATGCACTCGCCGATCGAGTACATGGCTTGGCGCAGTCGCCGGCTGCACTCGTAGAGCACAAGCGCGTGGAGTGACGGAAACATACCGGCGCTGGGCGTGCAGGCATACGCCGGCGCCATCAACCGGTTGAACGTCTGGAGCAAGCCGGGCCACACCACGGGCTCGTTCGTGAAGAAGAGAGTGCGCCAGTCGTCCCACGTCGGCGTCTTGGGCGGCGCGCGCGTTGGCATCGTAAAGGAGGCGGTGAGGTACGCGAGGTGGTGCATGCGGCGAAACGCATTACGACTCTCGGGTGCGATCTGCAGTAGGAAGAGGTCGTCTTTTGACTTCTGTTCGCACGTGGCAGTATCGTACAGCACGCGTTGCACCTACGCAGATCTACGCTGCCGGTGGGTTGCAATGCATCGCATGTACCTTGGCGGCCAGGGGCAGGAACGACCCGTCGAGACGACGTTGGGTGCTCACATGCGTCCGCAGTCGCTCGAGCATATCGCCCTACTCGCTTTGCAGACGTATGCTACGTTGAGGAGTATGGTCGAATACCTTGGTTTTGCCCTTGGTCGACGCGCCTACCGCCTGCAGAATGAGCGCGACTTCGGGTTGCGGACAGGCGCGTGCGATCGCGGACAGCACGGACGCATACTCCTTTGTGTCGTGGTTGAGACCAGCAATGAAGCCCGCGGCGTGCAAGGCGCTTAAAGCGCGCTGCAGCGGCGGCGTGCCCGAGGCGTCGACAGTCCACGGGATGCGCGTCGACGTCAAGTACTGCTCCAGCGATGTTGACCGGAACCACGGGCCCTTGCGCTGAAAGAGGCGCGCGTACAGGGCTTGTGCAGGCTCGGTGAGCGCCAGAAAATCGTCGACCATGGCTTGCTCGGCCGGCGCCAGGAGCGCCCAGAACGTGGCCTTCTACGTCGCGCAGTTAGCCGCCTCCGTTCTCGCTGTTGCACATACCATCTTGGTCAGGACACTGCAAAAGTGCTGCATATACGCGTCGCTGTCGTCGGTCGCGAGCTCGACGTCGTCAGCGTGCTCCAGCAGCGTGTCGTCGTCGGCCATCGTGCGACCCAAACTCAAACGGCAATCTGGATCTTGACCTCAAACCAAGTTGCGTGGCGAACGTAAATAGTGTATTGAACATGTTCGTGCCGCTTAAAGTGAGCGATTGTATTGCTTGTCTTCCAGTGTAGCGACACACCACGTAGTTAGTATGTCGCGTGTGCACCGAACTCGCCGTTTGCGGCACGCACTACATCAATAGCCAACAACTACGAGCGGTCGACGTTGTTGGGAAACACTATATTTGTCCTCCTCGAAATAGTGTACTTTGAAAATTGGCGCCAGCAGCCCCACGCAGGGTCCTCCCGCCATGCGCGTCGTAATTGTCATGGGATCACCAGACGAACATTAGGTGCGTCCAAGCAAGAGGCGGTACGAAGCTCACTTAGACTGGCTTAAAACTGGTGGATTTGGCCCGCGCTGTAGCCCATGCTGAGGAGGGTATCGTGCACGACTTCGTCAAACTTGGGCGGACCGCAATGCAAGATGAAGAGCCCGTCCGTGCTAGGTGCTGGCACATGCTGCGCGATGAGGTGCGCGTCCAGTCGCCCGACAAGGCACGGTTCGACGTCGTCGTGACCTGTTGCCGACGCTTCACTGAGCACATTGAACCAGCGAAAGCGACCGGGAAACATGTTGTGGAGAGGCCCGAGCGAGCTCTTGGCGATGACGTACTCGGCCGACTTGTTGCAGTTGAGCAGCGACAGCGTCGTCGAGTCCGTAGTCGCACCTTGCATAATGGCGCGGATGAGCTGGAGCATCGGCGTGATGCCACTCCCGCCCGCGATCATCGCAATGTGCTTGACGTGCGGATGCTCAACGGACGATAGCGTGATTTTTCCAACACCCGTGTAGCCGAACGCTCCTTGGGGCCCGATGCAGTCGACGGTCGCACCAATCGGAAGCGTCGCGAGGTGGCGCGTCACGATGCCATCCGGGTACACCTTGATCAAAATGTCCACCGTGTGCTTCTACGGTCATTGATGACGAGATCGGTGGGGTGTACGTGGCGTGACAGACCTGGTCAAGCGGGGACACGGGCGTGTACGCGCGCTCGTAGGGCTTGCCGTTGATGACGACGCGCATGCGCAAGTGCTGCCCGGGCATCACGAGGCCCTACACACAGAGAATAGAAACGAGAGGCAACCGACAAGCCGCACCAGTGTCTTGCCTTTGGGCAGCTCGAATTGGACGAGCTTGGTCATGGCCGCGACATCGCGCACGGCCACGAGCTTGAACGGTCGCCAGTCGACCGTGCTGAGCGCCACGTTGGACGTGGCCGTGGCCGGCACGGGCCCTTCGGCCACTGTGCCCAAGTAGCATTTCTAAGCGTCTTTGAGCGCTGAACGAGAAGAGGAGCGAGACTGCTGTACCTCGAGCATGCCATGGCCATTGACCCACGCATGGCTCTCGTTGAACATGGTCGTGCAGTCGCCGCCCGCGCAGAGAAGGAGCTTCTGGATCCCACCGGGATGGTACTTCATGTACGGCGTAAAGTTGTACACCTTGCCGTCGAGGATGCTCCAGCAGTCGTGCTCCGTGTTGTGGAGCGCGACCTCCTCGCGCGGGATGTTGCGCCGGGGCGGCTGCCCGTTCAAGCCCGCGAGGTCCCGCGATCGCTGCGTCAGCATCATCCAGTGCTATCCATCCAGCATCAGCGATGGCCTTCATGAGATGGACGCGTACGATCTGGCTAAAGCCCGGCTCGAGCCGAACCTTGCCTTCGCGATTGCTCGTTCGGTCGCCCATGGCAATATGGCAGACACCGGATACGCCACGAACGTCCGGATAAATGGGGTCATCTTATGTAATGCTCGGTTTGTTACAAAGCAATAAGACCTTGACGGCAACTGGAACTCGACAGCCTCGCAAAGGTACAGCTATAGGACCACATTCCGACTAGCCGTCGATGACGACGACGTTGGCGTGCATACGGTTGCTTAGCGCAAGTAGGTTCGGCTGAGCTTTTGCCAAATGTACTGTACGGTCTTGACGCCACCGGCCGTGAGGATGCCCTTGATGCTCTGCGTCCGGCTCGACGTGCGAACGATGCTACTGACGGCTTGCTTGACCTTCTTTCCGTTCAGCGACGCGATCGTCAGCGCCTTGTGCTTGGGCTTCATGCGCGACGTGACGTTTTCCGGAAGACTCGCCAACATGGCTTCGCGTGCCAACGGCGTCGTGTCCATCGTCCAACTCGTCGGTCCCTTCTGCAGATACGGCGACGTCTATCCCACGATACTCACCACAAGCAACCTACTGGAGCTTCGTAGCGTACCTGCAGCTTCTTGGCGTACACGGTCTGGAACCCTTCCAAGTTGCCGTGGACAATGTTGCGAACCTTCTTCGGGTTTTCGCCAAACGTCATGCGAAAGTCGCCCCAGTACGAGATGCCAGCGATTTTCTACCCGCGAGATCAGGATTCGATAGCATTAGCGTAGCGGTATCGAGCACCATGAAAAGCTCTTCTTCGGTAAACGTCTCGGGGAGCCCGAGCAACGCCAGGTGGAGTGCGTGCGAGAGGTTCGTGGACGACGCTGCATCGACCGATGGCACGGACGCGAGGATGTTGACCTAGCCAATGCTAACTTCAATGTGTGGGAATCGAGACCTACGGGCTTGTGCATGCGGCCGCTAAGGTACAAGTTGGACCACCCGGTGAGCTCGTTGCACAAGGTGCTGGTGCGCACGACGCCATACTTCACTACATGGACATGATCGTGAGAAGCGGACGAGCGCCTCGAAGTAGGTGTACTCAGTTGGTTCGTGCCCGGAATCTGCGCGAGCGTGTTGTAGTAGACACCAGCACCGAGCTCCTCTTGGATGTACGCGATGGCTTTGGGCCCAAACACCTTGAGCCCCGAGTAGTGCTCGGGATGGCGGGCGACTTGCTCCGCGTGCCATGCAACCGGGTCCTCCACCGCGAGGACGAGGTCAACCATCGAGCTCGAGCTGTCATGGCCCGACTGCTTGAAGACGCCCGAGCCGTAGCCCATGGCAAAGTCCACGGGCGGGAAGTGCGCCAAGAGCTGTGCCAGCGACATTTGCCTGCGCTTCAAGCCCGACACTGTCGATTGGAAATTGGGCACCGCACACTATTTCACATCACATATATTTAGTGTCTCAAGTCCAACGCAAACGGCTGCGTTCATGGGCATTCGCGCATGTCCTGCATGGTGTGTGTGGCGCTTCTTCACCTACAGTATCGCGCTCACACTACAGGCGAGCCCATTCGTCCAACGCCCAGGCATCCTCGACGTGTGCATCGAGGTCTCCAACGTACACTAAATACCGTTGATGGGGTTGCCTTTGCCGCGTCGCGCATGCGATTGGTCAAAAAACGCGGCCTTTCTCGACGAATCATGCGTCGTGGCTTTGCATATCTTTTGGGGTTTCTGCGCATCGCATACAAACATCAAGATATTGCGAACGCCCTGGTATTTTATTGTGCTTGTATACAACGTACAGGTGGTAAAAAACCGCGTCAATTAAATTGCGCTCGGGTCTGTGGGGCGATCATTCAAACAGTGGCGACGAGGAGCATTGCGATGGCGTCGGACCAAGCGATCGGGATGATGGACGGCGCGTACTTTGTCGGGCGCAAGGAGATCTTAGACTGGGTCAATGGTACCTGTGGGCTGGGCCTGACCAAGGTCGAGCAGACGTGCACGGGCGCGGTCGCGTGCCAGATCCTCGACGCCATCTACCCGGGGAAGGTGCCCATGTCCAAGGTCGATTGGAGCGCCAACAAGGACTACGAGTACATCAACAACTACAAGATCCTGCAAAAAGTGTTTACGAACCTCAAGATTGACCGGCACATTGAAGTCGACAAGCTCATTCGCGGCAAGTACCAAGACAACCTCGAGTTCATGCAGTGGTACAAGCGCTTCTACGAGCTCAACGGCGGTGGCACCAACGACTATGACCCGATCGCGCAGCGTGAAAAGGGTAAAGGCGGCGCCGCGTACTCGACCAAGTTCAAGTTTACCGGCGGCGGCGGCGGCTCGTCGGCCTCGTCGACCACGTCGTCGCAGGCTGCGCCCGCGCCCAAGCGCCGCCCCGTGGCGTCCAGCACCAAGTCGAGCGCCAAGCCGCCAAGTGCACCGTCTTCGATCGAGAAGGAGCGCGCCATCTCGTCCAAGCGCCAAAGTACGCATCGACGGCGCTCGCAATGTTGGCGACTCATTCTACGTAGGCGAAGCGTCGAGCAATGCCGAGGTCGATGAGTTGACCAAGGAGAACGAAGCGCTCTCGGAAGCCAACGGTATTCTCCGCGGACAGGTAGACCTTGCATTGCCAGGTCGATCGACTCTAGATGGATTCGTAGATCGAAGGGCTCGAGAAGGAGCGGGACTTTTACTTTGGGAAGCTTCGTGACATTGAGCTGATGCTGCAAGAACTGGACGAGACCGAGCACACGGAGACTGTCAAGTCGATCTTCAACATTCTGTACACATATGCGATCTCGACGTCTCCTCATGCGTTCTCTGTAGGTACGCGGCGGAAGGCGACTTTGTCGCAGTCGAAGGCGAAGAGCAGGAAGACGACGAAATGATGGGCTAAGCCAGGGCGCCCCGAGGAACTGTGTAGCCATAACATGCAAACGACTCTAAAACGACTCTGGTTTACGAGAGGGACGGGTCCACGGGGACATGCGTCATGCCTTGTAGCTCCGATAGCTGTCGGCGGCAGTCGGCGTCGTTCGTCAAGGCGTCCGAGCCCATGAGGACCGCGTAGAACTCGGCGAGGTAGGCGGCGACTGTCGCGGCTGGCATGCCGACGCCACCATTGCCCGTCGGTTCGAGGAAGCGTTCAAAGACACCGAGATGCAACGTCCGGCACGGCGCCTTCTCTGGACTCAGTCGTGGCTGGACGTACGAGAAGGCGAGGAAGCGCGCACCAAGCGTCCCGAGGAGCGCCCGGCGGCGGGCCGGCACCATGATGTCGTCCTTCACGGCGTCGGTATTGGACTCGAGAAAGATCGCCGTGATGGTTTCGTGCTGGTGCTGGATAGCGTCGGCGTCCAGGAGCCGGAAAACCTCGTTGACCATGTGCCTGCCAAGGCCACGGCCGCGGGTGTCTCGAGCCGGGTGCGTCGAGATGTACGTGATGAGCCCGCAGTTGCTTTTCGGGTAGTACTCGCAGCAAAAGCCGCCCAGCACATCGGCAGGATCGTTTCCGGAGCTTGCCTCGTCAAAGAGAAGCACGCAATGCAAGAGGTACTCATGGTCGGCCTCGTGGTTGCCCGTCGCGAGCTGGTAGTGGAGCGTGTCCACGTCCTCAATCTCTACATGCAGGAGCTTTGAGCTGCGCCGGTCGACGTGCTTCTACCATCGGGGATGATGCCAAAGGCAGGCGCAAGAACTTGGTCGTAGAAGGCGTCGACAAGGACGCGGTCGTACGCGACTGCCAAGTCCCGGAACTGGACGCCCATCGCTGGCCGAATGACACCAGGTCTTGTTTTCCGGATATTATGTCATTATCCGGAATTCGTACTCGCAATTGCGTTTCGAAAGATTTCAACGCCATGCCACGGGACGCCAAGGACGGCGACGACGACGAAGGCAAGAGCGGGGGCAGCGACCGAGAGAACGAGTGTGACGACGCCAAGATGGTGTCTCCAGACAATATTGTATCCAAGGTCGTCCAGTTCTTCTTTGAAGACGCTGCGTTTTCGCAGACGTTCGAGCAGTTTGCGGAGACGCATGCGCCAAGCTTTGATGCGTGCGCCGACGAAATGCAGCTCGAGTAAGTCGACGTCATTCATCTACATAACCCATGACTACGGCTAGGTACACGCACATTTACAACACGTTCACCGCGCTCTTTGAAGAGAAGATTGAAGGTACTCTAGGATGCGGATGTGCCACTTTGCTATGTCTTTTGGCCAGCGTTCATCGTGTCCCAGGGCTCGTCGGTCGCCGAGTTTTACGACCTTGTCAAGACTGTAGACTGTATCAGCGCTGGTCATTTGCTTGACGATAGATATATAGGCGCACGACCGCGACCCGGAGAGCACGCTCGCCGTCTACTCGCAAATGCTTGTCGCCACGTGCGACTTTGAGGTGTTTGTGCGTATGATGCAGCGCACGCACGAGACGCAGCGGTATCGCAAGTAGTGCTAGCGACAATAATTTCGCCTTCGGAAAGATAGTTCACTCTCCTGTCCGACTAACGGTACTAGAGAATAAGAACTTAGCTGGCCTGTGTGAGTGGTTACTGACGCTGGATGGTCGCAGCGAAATGGGCTCGCAGCGGATCTATTCGATTTATACGCAAAGAAGTGACCGTTTTCTCAAAACTCCTTGGGCTGACTTTGCAGTGGTACGATGCCGAGCGAGAGCAAGCACAGCCGCGACGACGACGCCAAGAGCGCTAACAAAGCGACTCGGGCAGACGACGCGAGTGGCGACGCCAAGGACGCGGCCGAGGACAAGGGCGGCCCGACGATCGTCGACAAGGTGATTGCGTTCTTCTTTGAGAACGACGAGTTTTGCGCCACGTTTGAGCGGTTTGCAGACAAGCACTGCGACATCTTTGACCCGGACGCTGATGAAATGCAGCTCGAGTACGACGTCCACTCTTCACCGCGTTGTTACCTCATTTTGTAGGTACACGGACGTCTACAACCAATTCACAACGCTCTTTGAGACCAAAATCGAAGGTCCGCCGCTCGGCGTCGTCGGGACCTGTGCGATATGATACGGCGTAGAGTTCATCGAGTCGCAAGGCTCGTCGGTCGCAGAGTTCTACGACCTTGTGCGCAAGGTCTGTACATCGTGGCAAGGATGAACCGCGAGGACGACGCATGCAACTATATGTAGGCGCACGAGAAGGACCCGCATGGCACGATCGCCATCTACTCGCGCATGCTCGTGGCAACCAGCGACTTTGATGTCTTTGTTCTCATGATGAAGCAAACCAAGGAAGCCCAACGTCTCAAAAAATAATGGAAACGCTTGCGTTGGGGGCTGCCACGTACGCTGGCTGGATCCACGCAACTGCAAGCAGTTACACACCGCAACTACCTACGGCACGACAGCAGCGGCGGTCGACGCGTGTGCCACCTTCGCTTGGCATCGTCAAGGCATGCTACACCATGCCAGTCGGTTGCACCGTACCGGGCACCTGCAGCATCGCTGCCGAGGAAGGTTGCGTGGATTTAGCCGACTCCGGTTTCGGAAGCGATGATGGTCCTCGTCGAACTTTCGAGAACCTGTCATTTTCGAAAAAATAAAACGCACCGCCCGCGCCCACGCGCCGCATCTCATACAAACACCAAGTTCACAAAGGGTTTGGCATCATAATAAAATACATACCAATAGTTCTCCGTAAAGTCCGTTCCGCACGCTGACAACCTCCCTTTATAATATTGTCATTCAATACAAAACGCAAGCTTTAATTGAGTTAAAATATCGAACCAAACGGATCCTGTTAAGTACGCTCCCGAAGGATTCCATCCAACCACTGTGGGGAATCGATAGCCTTTGAAAATCGATAAAATTCCCAATTCGCGGCCCAGCGCGAGGTATACTGCGCCTACCGCCGACCCGCGATCACCGACCGACGACCTTAGGCGAATGGACCGCAGTCACAGCGTCTGCTTTGAGTGTGGCAGCGACGACCTCGTCGAGGACCATGGCGCTGGCGACCTCATTTGCCGGGGATGCGGTATGGTCCTGATCGAACACATGATCGACGATGCACCCGAGTGGAACAATTATGCCGAGGACGATAGACAACGCGGGGACCAAAGCCGCGTCGGTAAGGGCCTCGACGAGCGCTTGGGCCTGGACGTGACGCTGGAGACGTACATTGTCGGGCCAAAGTCCAAGGCGTCGGCCGACGGCCCACCGCGCGCCCACCACTTGTCGCAAACCAGCCAAGTCGTCCGCCGCCGGGCAGGCTTTGACGCGCTCCGCGACTACTGCGACGCGCTGCGCGTCAACAACGCGGTGGCCGACTATGCCATCACGCTCTTCGCCAAGGTCGACGAGTCGGAGCAATTCAACGTGTCGCGCAAGCTCAACAAGGCCCGTGTGTACGCCGCCGTCTTGTACATGGCCTGTCGCGACTGTGGCAACACGCGCAGCTACAAGGAGCTCGAGGTGATTACCGGCGTCGACAAGTTCAAAATTGGCAAGATGGTGACGCAAATCACCAAGGCCAACCTCGTCGACCGCGCGGGCCCGGCGCCGCGAGCCCGCACCGAAGACTTTCTCGCGCGCTTTTGCTCGTCGCTCAACTTGCCGAACAAGACGCGTATCATTGCGTCGCCGATCGTGGAAAAGGCCACCAAGATGGGCATCGTCGAGGGCCGCGCGCCGCATGCGATCGCGGCTGGCGTCATCTACATTGTGGCTGCCTTTACAAACGCCAAGCGCTCGGTCGAAGAAGTGAGCGAAGTCACGTCGGTTGGCGCCAGCGTTGTCAAGGAAGTGGCCAAGCTGCTGAACAAGAGCAAGAAGGACCTCTTTGCCGACGTCCAAGACATCATGGTGGCGTGAGTCACCGCAGTACGTGCGATCCTACATTTCTTTCTGTAGTGGGTCCTTGAGCGATGCCCAGCACACCCATATCGCTACGGGAGTCCCCCTTCGTAAGTTATTAACCTTTTTTTTTTCCTTTTTTTGTTTTTCCCTAACCCGCGCGCGTCCCGTGACGACGTATCTTGTAGGGATCCATCCTCGTCCTTGGGTCGCATGGCGGCTACGCCAGTGCTAGGTCATCACACTGGCCGATGGCGAGCAAGCAGACACAGCAAAGTGGTCTTGGGTCGAGCGCCATGCGACGTCGACTTGCACGAGTTGCATCCTGGCTCCACCGTCCGGACGACAAATCGTGCAAGTCGTGCGATCGACGGCAGGCACGTCACTGGCAGGAGACTAGAAAGCTATGCAAACAAATACACTAGTCGTTGCATGGAGTTTAGTCGACTAACACGCCACTTGGCAGATCTCGATCCACGACGTGTATGCGTGGCGGGGTCGCTTGAGCTTCCAGACGAGGCCGCGGAAGAGGAACGTCTCGCGGTTGTTGACGCGCTTGAGTACCATCTCGATCGCTTGCTCGAGCTGCATGTGGAGGCGTGAGCATGGACGATGTGATTACAAGGAGATGCGAAGTACCTCGGTCGTGCAGGGCTGCCGCACGAGCAGCGAGAGCCCGAGCGTCGAGAGGCAGCAGAGGTACCCGCAGCCGTAGCATGGGATGCACGGGTAGTAGTCGCTCACAGCTTGGTTGATGGCTTCAATGCACGTATTGAACTCGGCCGATGGGACTACACCGCCATCGTGCATGAGCATGAGCATCATCCTCGCTGCATACCGAGGCCCTTGAGGGCCATGGGGTAGGTCGACGCGTAGGCCGAGGGCCATCCATCGACCGTCGTCGGCGCCACGGCCATGAGGCGTGCGAGTACGATGTCGTCTTCGTCGTCGACGAGGAAGCGCTCGGTGCTCATCTCGGCGATGCAACGGTTCCCGGCGCCTGTCTGATGGGCGAGGATCTTCCGGATACAACCGTCGCCCTATCGCACGCCGCCTCGTATCCGGACACATCGCGTGAGCTACCTCCAACCTTCAACGACGACGATCTTGTGCTCTCTCAGTCCGTTGTAGCTGCGACTCATACACTCGTCGACTAGTCGACGAGTCGACGAGTACATCTTCATAGTAGCTACTGTACTAAGTAGTGCACGGACGCTGCTATACTGTCTTGTTGGTCGTCGACGTTGTCGAGTTACTTTCGACTCTTTTGGTGAAAGGTGCTCGCGATGTCGGCGGCAAAGCCGCGCGTCGCTGCGAGCTCCGCCGTAGCTTCGCGCCGCAGGTTGTGGAGGCCTTCGGTTTGGCTGTTCCGCAAGCGGGCTTTGGTCGTGCTTAGAATCTAAGCAAATCAGAAATGACGTGGCAGCGTGGCAGGCAGCAACAACAACAATACTTGGCCAAAGTTCTTGGAGATCGTGTCGTAATGCGCTTGGTTGGCTGTCTGCTCCTCGAGGCGCTCGGCGAGGCGCGCGCAGAGCGGGTCGTAGCGCTCGTGGATCTTGCGCGACTCCTTCTCAATGTGCGCGAGCTCGTCGTGGTACTTGGCCATGAGATCGTTGATGAGCGCTTGCTTTTGCTTGACACGCGCCACGAGCTTGTCGAGCTCGCTAATCTACGCCGTCGAACGATGAGTGTGGCGGCTGCTGTCGACCGAGGATGCCGTACGCGGAGCTGGGCGAGCATCGGTGCGTTGCCCGTCTCGTGGTCTTGGCGCTCCATGAGCGTCACCCGCGCCTAGCCCAGGAATGTGTCAACGCAGGTGGCAGCGGATGTGATCTACCTTGTCCTGGTTGTCGGATGTGGCCGATCGCTTCTACGCGCCAGCATGAGCTCGGGCACGCGTGTCGCGCCTCGTACCATTGTGTCCATGGTCGTGGCCGAAACTGCCCAGCAAAAAGTGCCTGTGAAACTCGATACTTGGCGCCGACGTCGAGGCGCGCGATGGGCCTTCGAAGTCGCGGAAGGGGCTCGGTCGCTGTCGCTGCTGTCGACGGCGTAAGAGAGGACGTCAAGAAGGGGAGGCGCTTATATTGTGCGTATTATAGCGGGGCTAAATTATCCATAAATGAGACTGAAGAAGTCGTTGTGGATGTAGAACTGGGCGGGCGCATGGGCGACCAGCTGGAACGTCTGGGCAAACTGCAGCGGGTTGCCGCCGTCAATCTAGCACAAGCAGATAAGAAGGGCGATACGGGCATATAGCTCGATGGTACGTACGACGAGCTTGCCAGTGACGACGATCAAGATCGCGTTGTCGCTCACGGAGGGCTGGATGACCGTCGTGTCCACGCGGTGCTGCGTCGACGGAAGCTTGCTCAGCTTCTCCAAGATGGCCTGTGTGCCCTGGAACGTGTCCTTGTCAAAGCTGAGCGTCGAGCGGTCGCTCTACGTCAATAAGATAAGAAGCTATCAGATCGTGCCATGACGTGGCAGGACGTACGTAGAGCGAGGCCAACGCACCGCGGTTGCCGTCAAAGGTCGTGTAGTAGTGACCGATGAACGCGTTGCCGATATCCTGGGCCGACATGATGGTTTCCTTCGCCAAATCGAATTTGGAACCACCGGCTTCGCCGGTAAGTCCCCGAAAGTCCGCATCCAAACCGTACTTTATCGGGTTCTCCCCGCCGTCTTCAGTCATTCGAGAACCGTCTTCGTGCCAAGCAGAGATGCGTACAGGACTGCGCCTCGTTTCTCTCTGTGGCCGACGCCTTGCAAAGAAGCGATCGTCGCGGGCGCCCCCTGTTCAAGTGCGAATGCGGAGAGATCGATTTAAGTACGGTTGACGAGAGAAAAGTCCGGCGCACTTAGTCGAAAACGCCGGTTTGTGTGGTGGTTGGGAGTGACTCAAATACTCGGCAGCGACGATGTTCCGTGCGACCCGCGTCCTTGGCATGGCCGTCCAGAAGACGACGACGGGCCTCGTGGGCCTCAAGGTGAACCCGAACTGGCGCAGCGACCTCATCCACCTCTACGGCGAGACGCTCAAGGCGACCGCGGTACGACGACGAGGCTACCGAGAGGCAACTTGCTCATGGCGGCGACGTAGACGCACTTGCCCGAGTGCCACTACCGCACGTCGGTGGAGCAGATCACCAACTTTCGCCTCAAGGTCGTGACGGACAACACCGATGTACGACGCCAACGCTGCCAGCACCTTGCGGAATGCTCATGCATGGGCGTAGGAAAACATTGTCGAGAAGACTGTCAACTGCGGCCAGGTCGAGGAATTAATAGAGCAGGCCGAGGACGAGCTGTTCTTGATCCCCAAGTACGCCGGTACGACGCCACACATTACCAACAACCACCGCTGGAGAACGCTCATGGCCATGATGTAGAATGGCGCTTGTGGGAACCCCCGGTCGCCCCGAAGGACCAGTAAAGACGATGCGCTCGAACGTTCGTGCCTGCCTACAATGGCTGCCCGTAACCTGTAATCCGATGAACCTCCATGTTGTTCATCCACGACTATGATGCTCTCCATCGTCCACTCAATGGGTCATTCGCCTGCACGACTACATGGCCATCACTGGCACGGACGAGAAGACATGGCAAATACAGCGTGTTGGTTGATAGCAGCGGGGCGCTTACGATCGGAGCTTGCGACTTCTTGTGATGTTGGCCTTGATACCCGTGAGTTCGCCGCCGTAGCGCGCGGCCTCGCCAACGCGCACGTCGCGCACTTGGCCTTTTCGTCGCACGAGCGCCTTCTCGTACTGGAGGCGCTTCTTGACGCGCGGGTTGCGGTTCACCTTGCTCTTGTGCGCCGTCAAGCCGCGGTTCTTGATCATCTGGTACGTCGCACCGCGCTTCTTGTCCTCATCGTCCTCGTCGTCCTCGGCTTCCGGGTAGTACGTCGGCTCGTGCGAGAAGAAGGCTTCCTTGAGGTTCTTGTGCTTGGTCTTGGTCGCGGCCACCGACGCGTAGAACGCGTCGGCGTCTTCGTCGATCTCGTCGTCGTCGTCCATCTTGCGCTTTTTGGACGCCTTCTTGGATTCCTTCTTGGACTCCTTCGTCGTCGGCGCCGTCGTCTCGGGGGCGGCGTCGCCCTTGAAGTAGTCGCCAAGACCATCGTCGTCGTCGTCGTCATCGTTGGTCGTCTCGTCGACCGGGATCTCGGTCGTAAGGAGCTCGTCGAGCTGGCCCTCGAGCCCTTCGTCGACGGCTTCGAGTGCGTTCAGCTTGGCGCGCATCTGCAGAATGTGCTGCAGCACCGGGTGGTCCTGGACAGTCTTGCCGGCCGCCTTGAGCTGGAGGTAAAAGCTGATGTTCATCGTGTAGTTGAGCAGAAGCGTCTCCTTCATCTGGATGTATTCGAGGCCGGCCGCGTACTTGGGCGCTGACTTGGTCTCGGCCCACTGCGTGAGCTTCTCGCGCGCCGGCTCGATCGACGTCGAGAGCACTTCCATGCACGCCTTGAGCTCTTCGAGAAGGCCGAGCAGCTCCGGCGACGTTCTATCAGATGCAAATAAGACCCGGAATCGAGGTCAAGCGGCGTACTCTTGCACGAGCGCAAGCTTTTGCTTCTTGGTCATCTTGGAGAAATCCTTGGTCACCTTCTCGACGGGTTCTTCGCCGTAGAGCGGGATGTCGGCGAGCTCGTCGCCGACACGCGTTTCTTCGTCGGCATCGTCCTCGGCTGCGTCGTTGGCGTCGACCACAAAGTCGTCTTCGTCCATCATCTCGGCCTGCTTGCGCTGGAGCTCGAGCGCCGCTTCTTCTTCGTCGCGCGCGGCTTCTTCCTGGTCCGAGAAGCCTTCGTAGTCGGCCGTATCCGCCGAGTAGAAGGCATTCTTGGACGAGCCCCACTGGTCCGCCATCTTGGCGATGCGCTCCTTCTCCTCCGTGTAGTCTTCGCCGTCGCTCTCGATCTCGTCGCGCTCTTCAAGAAGTTCTTCGTCGCCATCGACGTCTTCTTCATCATCGTCGTCGTCGTCGTCGTCGCTGCTCGCATGCAGCTGCATGACCTCTTCCTCGTCGCCCATGCCATCGTCGCTCTCCGAGTTGGCTTCTTCGAGCTCGTCCTCGGACGGGTCGTCGAGGAAGACGAGGTCATCCTTGCGGGGCTTGGCGCCCATCTGCTTGCCCTTGCGCTGCTCCTCGAGCTTCTTGGCGAGCCGGCGCTCGGCCCCGCCATCGCCCGTCTTGGCGCTCTGTCGTCCGCGTCGGCCCATGGAGATATATCGAGTCGATGGTCCACCAACCGCCTGCGATTGATTGGTGGCCAAAGCACCCGATACACGCATCGGATTGGCTACCTTCGGACCAATCACGCGCGCTTATTTTTCGAGTGCCAACTCTTCGAGGCTGGATCCTGACAGCAATCCTAACGTTAGCTACTCCACGAATACCGCCTCCAGTCGTATGTCGAGCGTTCGAGTAGGCTGCTATCTTATAGCATAAGAATATGCATTGGACGTGGGACGTGGGCGTAGTTTCGGCCTCGAGAAGCTTGTTGTCGAAATAGCACCAACATACTACGGCCCTTAAGGACGCAGTGTGCAAATGTTCAAGAAGCAGCCCGAGCGTTTGGCATTGAAGTGCCATAAGAAAAATTGAATCTAGTTTGCCACCAAGGTAGGAGTCGGAGCCAGTCCCTTGGTATCGGTCATGCATACGCGCGGCCTTAGCTTCGAGACGGTGTCTGCTGCACGCCCTACGCCACGTTGACGGTACATCAATCAATGCCCTCGATCGGTCTACAACGGCTGACCAAGAACTGAGCTGCGTAATAACTCATTTCAACAACATTTCAACAACCAAGAACTGAGCTGCGTGGTGCTCTGAAATCCACAAGTACGTGGGTCGCGCCACGTCTCGCGGTTCTCACTGGTATTACTAGTACGCGACAATCAGTGGACGATGCTCATCTTTGGCTTGGAAGGCTCATGTGCCACGTCCTTTGATCGTGATTTGACTCGGATTGCCATCGCATTTGTGTCTTGAACCACCTTAGGACTCCCCTTAGGACTCGTTTTATTTGAGGAGGTAACGTGATCTTGAAGGAAAGAGCACTTCTGAACTTGATTGATCCATCGACCTGCTAGTCATGGCGCAGTCCTTCAACACTCTAGCGGGATGTGAAGGTGACGTTGCTCGAGTGTATACAGCACTCTGGGGAAATAGGACATTCTGAGCTCCCTTGACAGCATGCAGCTGGGCTACATGCGCCAGAGCGGTGCTTTTGGTGACGATTATGCGCTTTAGGTTAGCGCGCAGCACCGCGTACAGTCAGCGCAGCAAACTACTGCGGTGGTCAAGGGCTCCGTTTCAGACGCAGGGGATCTGGCGCCAAACCAGTTGGTTGTCAATATCAGTTCTGAGAGGTCCAATATCCCATGCATCTTCTGCGTATATCGGTTTTGACAGTTCCTAAATATGATATATGGGAGGTTGGGCGTGGGGGTCGCGCAATTTGCAAGCCATGTCGTCCGACGAGGCCGAGACCGGGGCGGTGGCAGGCCCGACGGGCGCCGAGGCCATGAGCACGGAGACCCTGGTGGCGGCTGTCAAGGCCTACAAGGACCGCTGCGTGCGCCTCGAGACGCTCATCGCGCAGCAGAAGCATGCGATGCACGCGGTCGAGGAAGAGAACTCCAAGATGAAGCGCATCATGGTCGGTGCCAAGCGCAGCCTCGAGAACAAGAAGGCCGCGTGCGAAGCGCTCCAGCAGCAAGTGCTCGATCTCAAGGCCGCCGAGAAGAAGGCGCCGGACGCGGCCACGACTGCGAAGCGGGAGCCTCGGCGTATTCTGCAAAAGGTCAAGCAGGCAATGCCGATGGGCCCGACGCTGCTCTGGTGTCTTGTCGAGTACGCTAGCGACAACGACTTGGACGACGACGTGAAGCCGCCCGAGTGCGACTGGGTCGCCTTCCGCTCCGACGACGAGCTCCACGACTACATTCGCAAGACGAGCGGCGAGCCCCTTCGGCTGCCCGAGCTGTCGCTGCCACCGCCCGAGATCCAAGAAATGGTACGGGGAGGGATACATGCACGTTTCGATACAGCGCTTGTAGAAGCAAGAACTGAGCGAAGAGCTCGAGCGAGTCCAGGAAGAGTTTCGCCGATACCGCGTGCGGGCCGGTACGAGCCGCGCCCCGCATCTCCCTCATGCATCTCGGTGTAGAGATTACAAGGAAACAAAAGGACGCGGAAATCCGCAAGGTCATCGAGGCTCGATCCGCCGACCCTTCGTTTTGACTCGTGAGTAGATGAGCGCATCGACGCTGGCACGGCAGCAAGAGCAGCTCTCGGGCACGGACGTCCAGAACGAGCTCCAGGCAGCGCGGCTGCAAGTGCGCCGGCTCGTCCAGCTCCAGACGATGGCCGAAGAAAAGGTACCAGTCGCACAATCGCAACCACCCGGCTATCAGATCTGATGTAGGAAAGCGAGTGGAGTGAAAAGTACGCCAAGCTCCAGCGCGAGCACGAGAAGCTCAGCGGCACCATGGGCGAGACCGTCCTCGCGATGGAGTGGCGAGAACGGTACGCTCTCTGTCACTCGAACCGGCAGCGACGTCGCCGAGCAGGTACGAGGCGGTGCTCCGAGAAAAGACGGACCTCGAAGCCAAGCTCTCGTCGAGCGACGCCAGCTTCCAGCTCGCACAGGACCTCGATGGCAACGATGTGGCTAAGCTCAAGACCGAGTTTGCGCTCTACCGCAAGCGCGCCATGCAAGTCGTCGACCAAAAGGAAAAAGAGCTGCAGGCCGCCAAGGGCCAGCTCGGGTACCGATCGCGTCCCCGTATGACGTGCCAATGTGTACTGCCTAGGGACGCACCGCGCTCCAACTCATCGGGGACGTTCTCGTCGGCCGGCCTGCGACGCATGAGCAGCTCCAACAGCCTCAGCGGCTTTGAGACGTCGCCCCACGCACCGACGACCAACGAGTACCTCAAGAACATCGTCGTCAAGTACATGAGCACCGACCACGCCGAGGTAGGATCTCGCCTTCATATCAAGGCGCTTATAGCTCGACTAGGTCAAGGAGCACATGGAGAAGGCGATCGCGACCGTACTCAAGTTCTCGCCCTCGGAGCTCAAGCTCATCGAAGACAAGCGGCACGCGGCGTCGGGCTGGGCGCTCTGGTGACGCCGAGACGCGCCGAGACAGAGACAGCGCTGTATTAACACGAGGCACGTGTCGCCTGCGTTATCACGTGGCGACAGCAAGACTTCAAGTTGCAGTTGGGGCTGCGACAGCAAATGTCCTTGTCTGGCGCACCAACCTGGTTCTCTAGTGCGGGCGTAGACCCGTCGCAACGTCCGAGTCATATACGACGTGTTACGGTGTCCAAAAGCTGCATATACGATCGTTCCTGCATCAAGCGAAGCGACGACGCGGCTGCCCGCGGACAAAAGCTGTCGCCGGACGTATCCCAGTGCAAGTTGAAGTGCCGAATACATAGCCGTGCAACTGCAACGTGCGATGGATGGCGGTGCTGTCGCCTACCGTGGACTGCACCCACAGGTGTTGGATTCCTTGAGACGCCATTGGGTATTCTTGAAGTGAGTCACGGAGCCAATGCGAGCGGGCGGTCCGGAGCAAAGATCGTCTTCAAGGATATCCGGGCAAAGGGGTGCGACGCGACCCACGTGGTCGCTGGCTCTGCCACCTCATCCGTCGCCTTCCTCTTCCACGACCTCCAAGAAGCGACCTTTTCTCGCTGTCCGAAGCGCGATCCGCATCGACAAAGTCAAATTTTGCAGTGCGTGCAATGCGCCAATTCCCAAAATTTCGGAATCCCAAGCGGCCTTTCTCGGGCCAAAGATTCGAAAAGATCGACTTGGGGTTTGTATGGGCCAAAGTTCAAGCTCTGGCCCAAAAGCATCTTGAACTTTGTATACGCAGCCACTGTCCCATTCACCAAAACCAGCCGCGACGTGTCCCAGAGCATGGCCGACCAAGGAGGTCCTTCGAGCGCCGGGAGCAAGGTCGGCTTCTCACTTCAAAACATTCCTCCTCCCGCTCACGTCCAGCACTCCCGCGGAACCGGCCACGCTCCTCTTCATCCGACCATGACCCAAGACCGCGCCCCGACCCACGTCCAGCACCTCGCCGCCGGTGGCAAGGCTGCCACCATGGCCACGCTCGTCGCCGAGAAGGACGACGTCGACGTCATCGCCGACTACCTCAAGGAGGCCACGACGTACCGCCCGTCGATCCTCGTCGTCTGCGGCTCGGGCCTCGGCTCGCTCTCCAAGTGCCTTACCAACACGGTGACGATCCACTACAACGACATCCCGCGCTTCCCCAAGTCGACGGTCGTCGGCCACGCCGGCGAGCTCGTCTTTGGCGAGATCGAGGGCGTCCAGGTCGTCTGCATGCGCGGCCGCTTCCACACGTACGAAGGCCACGACATCCGCAAGACGACGCTCCCGATCCGCGTCATGAGCCTCCTCGGCGTCAAGTTCCTCATCGTCACGAACGCCGCCGGCGCCTTGAACGAGACATACAACGTTGGCGACGTCATGATCATGGCCGACCACCTCAACATGCCCGGCCTCGCGGGCAAGCACCCGCTTGTCGGCCCCAACGACGACCGCTTTGGCGAGCGCTTCACGCCGCTCTCGGACGCGTACGACGTCAAGCTCCAGAACCTCGCGTGGCGCATGGCTAAGCAACACGAGATGACGCACAAGGTGCGCCGCAACGGCGTCTACTGCTTCGTCTCGGGCCCGACGTACGAGACGCCCACCGAGTGCCGCCTCCTGCGCCTCGTCGGCGGCGACTCGGTCGGCATGTCGACGGTCCCCGAGGTCATTGTCGCCCGCCACTGCGGCATGAAGACGGTCGGCCTCTCGCTCATCACCAACAAGGTGGTCATGCCGGGTACCCAGCGCACGGCGATCCCGGCCTCGCACCAGGAAGTGCTCGACGCGGCGCTCGCGACGCAGACGCAGCTTGAAAACTACGTCAAGGACCTCATGGTGGCCATTGGCACGAGCTACGACGACGAGTCGCTCTCGGAACTCGTCGACGAAGAGTAAACTGCCTTGTCGCCCGACCAAATTATGACTTACTTAGATGTTTAATAAATTTGCCTATTCTCTCCTACCCACGCTGCAACGTCTGACTCTACGACGCGTCCGAGAGGCGGGTAAAGACGCGGATCGCGCCGTCGTACGTGGCCGTGACCATGTACCCCGTGCAGGCTTGGACGTGCACATTGTCGTGGTCGGTCGTCGGCAGTGGCGCCAGTGCAAACGTACTCGCCGGGGCAAAGAGCGCGACCGTCACGACGCCACTCGCCCCATCGACCGCTACACCACGCTCTGCTTCCCGGCCTTGCGTTGGTCAAAGTACGTACCGGTGAAGTACTCGAAGGACTGGTTGCGATCTTGCTTGCTGCCAAGGAGACTGGAGCTGTGCGCACTCGACGTGGCCTTGTGCCAGATGTACACGTTGCCGTTCTCTGAGCCGCAAATGACATAGTCCCCGTCTTGACTAGAGAGAACTTGTCGTATCAATGCAGAAACCTTGCGCGACGGACCTGAAGCGGCCCTTGATCTGGAGGTATTCGTTGCGCAGCCCCTTGTACTTGCACACGCGAGCGTAATTGTCGACCGAGAAGAGCCGCATGCGCGAGTCGTTGGTCGTGACGAGGAAGAACTTGCCTTCGGGTGTGAACTCGATGCCCGTGACCTTGCGCCCTTTTCGCGTGGCGCCGCGAGCGTTGCGGCAGTCGATCTGCGTGTAGTAGTTCATCGCTTGGTGGTTGTTGACTTGGTACAAGATGCATTGGCCGTGGAGAAGGCCGACAATGACGCGGGACCCGGACGGGTGGAACGTCGCCGCCGTGATCATGACGGGCGCTTGCACATACGAGACGACGCAGCCGTCGGGAATGTTCCAGATCCGCGCCTTGTTGTCGAAGCAGCCGGAGAGGAAGAACCGGTCGTCCTTCGGATGAAAGTCCACGGCTGGGACGCTGTCGGGGTGCTGGAACACATGCAAACACTCTTCCTTGGAGATGTGCCAGAGCCGCACCGTCTACGCAGTTGCGGTAGGCTGCATCCTCATGATGCTGTGTACCTTGTCCATGGACGCCGACAAGATAAAGTTGCTGCGGCTCCACGAGACATCGACGATCGGCATCGAATGGCCCTAGCATCGACGGCATTGTCCGGGGTTTGTATCGAGTCGTCGCGTACTTGGTACGACTGGTCCGGCGTCTCGAGGAAGAGAGCGCGTGGTGCGGTCTCGGCGTCGGCGCCGCCGAGCGCGTGCACCTTCCAAACGCGTAGAATGGCATCTTGGCCGCCAGTCACGAGCCGCGCGCCGTCATGGCTAAACTTCATCGTCCAGATCGTGCCATGGTGGCACGTGATGGTCTGCACAACGGTGAGCGCACTGAACTCGCGCTTGTCCTTGGTCGACGACCCGCCCTAACGCATATCATCCCATGCGCCCAAGCAGCGTACTGGATTCTAAGTACGTGGACGGCGCCGGCCATTGGCTTTGCTTTGGCCTTGGGCTGCTTGTCCTTCTTCTTAAAGGTCATGCGCAGTCGCGCCTTGATGGACGTCTTGGCCTTCTCTTCCTGTATGTGCGGCTGCTCCATGCGCATGAGCCTCCGTGCAAGGGTGATGATCGAGGACCTCGGACTCGTCGTCGGCGGGCGGCTCGAAATTCTGCGGAAACATCGTGTAGCAGTCAACAGGGTGGGCCTCGAGCTCGCGGATGTCGTAGACTTCGCCCGTGTCCTTGTTGCGCACGACAAAGACGTCGATGGCGTCGCTGGCGGCGGGTGGCAGCGGCTCCTCTGGCCGGACTGCGCTCTCCTGTAGCTGCTCTGGTATCGGCGGCAGCTCTACGAGCCATGATCACGCAGCGCCCATCGATGTGGATGCAAGATTACCTGTCTTGCTCGGTGGGCATGGCACGACGACCGATCGCCTTGGCGACTGCCCTTCCTCGTCATGGGCGTCGTAGAACTACATGCAGCTCATGCAGTAGGCGCCATCGTCCTGCGCGTGAGCTACGTACGTCTTCCTCGGACGCGCCCGTCGTCTCGTCCGAGGACATGGACCGGGTCCGCGCCGGCTTCTCGGGGCTCGCGGCTACGGCGCCGTCCATCTTCGGATCTTCGCGATAAAACCACCGCGAAACCGGATGTCCGGATATCATAGTTGTTATCCGGAAGATCGTCGTGAACGCTTCAACGACAACGGTGCATGCATTAAGTGCTGCCGTTGGGCATTAGAATGGTCTAGTTAGTAGAAACGTGTCGACTATAGTACATTTCGAACGTCGTCTCGGTCCAAACAAACGTAAAAGCAAGGGTAGACGAGTATAAGAGATACACTTGGTGCGACTTGCGCTTAGTCGAAGTGCCGACTAAAGAAGCGACCGACACGACAGCTTGAAGCATGTTGATATAGAGAGCTTGTGTCCAACATGCCAGAGCTTTTTATAGCCAAAAGTGCAGAAATCGTCATTTGGTACCGCCAGCTGCCTCTCCGACCAGAAGCGTCTTCGAGTCATGCGACGAGCCAAAGTCGCCGACGCCCAAGCACCTAAGCGCACCTACGGCGTGCGTTGGCACCGCCTTGGCTTCCTCGTGAGCTTCGCCTCGCTCTGCAACGTCTCCTCCATGGTAGGCTCGTGGCAGTCTTTCTCCCCTGTGGACGCATACTGTACTCTAGCCGCTCGCTGCATACCTCTCGGAGCCGCTTCCATGGCAAGGTGCACTCAGTCCTCCCCAGACGTATGCCAACTACACCGAGTTCAACACGGCGTATCTCGAAAGACACCAGCAACGCTACTCGAATGCGACGCTGCCGACGGGAACTCTCTACATGGTGGATGACATAAACAATTCCCAAGTGACGCGGTCGTTGCTTCGCTTGCAGCAGCCGCCCATGTACACTGACTAGTGTCTCTCGGTGTATCTCTTGGGCCTGCCGGGTCTTATTTACTACACCAAATCGCAGATCGATCTGCTCTGCCGCATTCTCACAGCTCCCAATACGACGTTGCAACACCCCGAAGGCTCGTGCTATCAAAACCATTTGTGCTCGTTTACCTTTGGCCGGTCGTGTCTCTGGCTCGAGCCCGGTGACGCCATCTCTGACCCACCAGCGTCATCGGGTGTGGCGACGCTGTACTTTGTCAACGAAGCCGCGCGCCATCCGCTGGTGGTTTGGCTCATGTTGATCTATCGCATATGTACGACGCTTTTTGTGTGGTACCGTCTCTGGGCGCACTACTACCGGCACTGCACTCAGCTCGAATCGCTCGTACGCCGGTGTGGGCACCGGAACAAGATGCCGTCGGGCAGCTGGTCGTATGAGCTCGTCCTTGGCGACCCAACCGCGATTGTGCTACTGGATCCGATCGTGGCTACGCTCTACTACCTGGATATTTGGTTGAGTTGCACGAGCTTTGGCACAGCCACGATGCAAGTCCAGGCCAGCGCCAACGTCATGTCTCTGCTGCTTGGTATCACCTACCTCGCGCGCTCGGTACTCGGGTCCTAGCCTCTTAAGTTTGATAGATATGCGATGTAGGTCTGGTTTGCGTACTGGGGCCTCTGCCTCGTCTCGTATGTACTCAAGCGCTGGAGGAAAGAACAGTGCTTTTCGGAAGTCGACCCAACGCTTGTAGCGATCGCCGTGACTCTCAGCGGTCCCATCATGACGTATCTGAACGGTCACGTGACAATATTTGTCCGCTTCTACCAGTGGTTGTTCGACTGCCTCGTCCCAACAGATCGCCAAAACGAAGAGGTCGAAGGCGCGCTCGTGTGTTTTGTCTTTACGCTTTTCACACTCAACTTGCCGCTAGTCCACGGGCTAGTATCGGGTTCGCCCTTTGTGTTCAGTCAGTTTGACAAACAAAGTTTTGCTGTGCGTAGCCCGCCGGCGCCGTCATCGCAATATCGATTATAGCGCCTGCACGTACAACAACTTCAAGAGCGCGGTTCTCTTGCGACTTGCGGCGGCACTGCGTCTCACGCCGCTGTATCCACCCCGCGGTGGCAGCATCTACGAAGCGATGGAGGCGAACCCGCGACTCAAGCGCTCTCCGACGATTAGCTTGCGGGGGACGGACTGCTTTCTGCTCTGCTACTGCGATGGAGAGCTCACCGAGCGGCTGCGTCTGAGTCTCTTGACGAATGTCGACGGAGACCTCCCACGATCAACGGAGCCGTCCGAGTTTGTCGTGTACGAGCTGCAATCGCCCTCGGCGGGCGATTGCGATGCCATACTTGGGCCGCAAATGTCAACAAGCAACTCTGCGCTACGCGCGCCACCCGATGCATCATTATGGTGCATTTAACTACGACGTGATGTGAACAAGAATCGTTCAGGACGGAATATCTCATGTATGTTGTCAAATTCACGGTCGGCAGCAACACGGCGCTGCTCGTGGCATGCTGTACGGCATCTGCTCTCTCCGAACGCCACGTACATTGCGGATCTACTCTGGCTTGTAACCGCCAGCCCCATGTGTACTAAAAGGCCTCTCGGTGCTGGAAGCAGGTATTGCAAGCGGTCTCGTTCGCGGTCTCGTCGATGCATATCCAGCGTCCGTCACTCCCGACCGAGGTATGTTCTGGCCGCCGCGCTGGAGGTCAAAACGTACTCGTCCGTTGTCGTTGACATGAGCTGGTCGCTGCGCATTCGTCGCTCGAGCTCAATGACTTGGCCGTTTTGGGCACCATTGTCAGTGGTTGGCACTTGACGCCATCGCCATCGCCGTCAGGGTTGACGCCGCCTGGAATCGCATGCCTCCATGCCGAGCTGAACGATGCCAAGATGCGAGGCGTCCGCGTTGCGTGTACTTGTCGATGTCTACTCGCTAGTATTGGCGCTGCGGGACGTCGCCAGCGCCTCTCGAAGCGACGGCCAAGTGACGCGGCGACGTCCTTGAGTTCGTCGACGCAGATGCTGCAGACGCTGATGCTATGGGAAGAAACCTCCAACACTGTGACTCTTGATAGCTACGTCAACAATCTTTCTTTCTCCAGCCAAGCCGGGTACGCTGCGCTCACCGACTCGCTTCAGGTGGTGCGCCCCCTCTTGGATGTGGTGCAGGACCTTGACGGCGACGATGCCTCGCCGCACCGACTCCCGCCGGATAGCATCTCGATCAAGATACTGCGCAAGACGTGTCGCAACCTCCCACTGGACGCAAAAGTCTCGGCCGCCGAGCCCCTCCCTGAATCTGAATCGGTGTTGTATGCACAACGGCACAGTATGCTGCCACGTCA